TTTCAAAATCGAATATGCGGAAAGGAGCTGTTTGGAATGAAGATTTACAAGAAGAAGTAATTCCATCTGATTGGATTAGTGATAAAACTGTTTGTCGGCTTCCAGGTACCAAAGCATTGACTGCACTAAAATGCAGAGAAGAATTGGCTTAAGTTTATACAAATAAAAACTAAATTCTCTTCAGGTATTACATCTATATATTACAATTATTATTTTTTAAATAATGTGGTAAGAAGAGTTATTTAGTTAATAAAAAATATATAACTATTTGTATAACTATTTCAATTCTAAAAGAAAGCAAACAGTATTGTGAAAATTTTAATTTCACAACTACAAAAGAAAAATGTGATAATGAGAATGTTGACAAGTGGATGCAAATTTGCACACAAGTGGAAACTTGGATGCAAATTTTCAACTTGTGTGGTTTGGATGGTTCTCCACAATATAATATATCTCCACAAGCATAATATTAGATTTACTTCATGTTTTTTTTACAGATAAATCAATTACAGTTAATTGGTGGAGTTACCTCATTTATAATCAGGGTGTCTGCAGCTCCTCTAAAATCCTCTAAAGTCCTCTTTTTTTAAAACCTAAAAAAACTTCTAAAATCCTCTATTATCCTCTAAAGAGGTAAAAATTTGATCAAAGCTCCTCATTAATTCTTCTTTTTTTAATTTTTGATGGATGTATAATGTTCAAAATACCCATTCTCGGTCTGCAAAACTGGTTAACGCCTTAAAGTGCATGGAATTGTAAAAAATTGCTTTAGAAAATGCATGCTATTTAACATAGCAAATGACATTATTTGATCCCTGTCCAAGCCCCATAAGTGTATAAACATGGACGTTAAACCATTAATAAATGGCCACATAAAATTTCTTATAAAAATTTTATGTGGCTACCCCGAAAATTATTTTTCAATGCTAGAAATGTTTTATATTTTGATTATTAATTTATTTTTAATATATTAAAAAGGTTGTTTTATTTAAATTAAATATTTGAAAAAGTTATTAATAACCAACTAATAGTTATATTATTTTTTAAAAACTCAGAGTATTTTCGAAAAGTTATATGGCCTCCATGGATATGAAGGGCAAAGGTGGAAAAGTATGTTTTAAGAACACTAATCTATATGGCATTGAAAAAGATATACCTTCATAAGTTGTAACACTTTTCCATTCATTATTTATTTTTTAAATCTTCCCTTTTTGTTTTTTTTTTTAATATATTTTTTTATTTACAGCTTCTTATATTGTACTCAATGGACCAAAAGAACCCTCGGTTAATGGAACATTGTTTGACTTTCTAAATTACGCTTTATTTCAAAAAGATGGTGGACAAGAGAAGAAATTTGTGTAGATTTTATTCAATTACATGTAAATATATGTAATATTTGAATATGTATTTTTGAATAAAACAATTTTTATCTCTTTCTTTAGTCATACCTAGCTATTTTAACTAAACTAAACTGAAAAAGTTCTAAATAGTCTAAGTATAGACTATGAATAGATTTAATATCCATAATATACCTTGATAATGTACAGCAACACTAATGTACATGTATTATACATAATAGTACGTTTTGATGGTGATCATATTTTGACGCACATAGCACGTTTACATACATATATACATTTTGACATACATAGCACGTTTTGATGGTGAAAAAGTATTTTACAGTCGTTTAACGTTGATAAATCATTTTAAACGTTGTATCAACGTAAATTCAACGTTGTTGTAACGTTTTTTCGCGTCGAATTAACGTTGATATAACGTTTGAATCTAACGTTGATTTAACGTTGATAAATCAACGTTGAAAAAAACTTTCATTCTAAACGTTAAATCAACGTAAATTTAACGTTATTGTAACGTTTTTTCGCGTCAAATCAACGTTGATATAACGTTTGAACCTAACGTTGATTTAACGTTGATAAATCAACGTTGAAAAAAACTTTCATTCTAAACGTTAAACCAACGTTAATTCAACGTTAGGTTTCAACGATATTTCAACGTTATTTCAACGTTATTTGCCGGCTGGGTATATATGGATATATATATATACATATGTATATATATATATATACATATGTATATATATATATATATACATATGTATATATATATATATGTATATATATGTATATATATATATATATATTATGTATATATATATATGTATATATATGTATATATATATATATATATATATATATGATATATATATATATATATATATATATATATATATATATATATATATATATATATATATATATATATATATATATATATATATATATATGTATGTATGTATAAATGTGTGTGTAGGTGTGTGTGTGTGTAATGCATAAACAGATAAGAAACAAGTAAGAAACAATTATCTTATGCTTAAAGTACGCTACATACTTTATGTATGTATATATCTATGTATTTATGTATGATAGTATGTAACATACATATAAATGTACATACATATATACGTACATGTAACATACATACGTACATATATAAATATGCGCTCGTAATAGTATATACTATTAAATAAAATTCATTTGATTTCATGATAAATGAATGTATCAATTATAAAATACAATAAATGTCTAATTAAAATACATTATAGCTTTTATATAATAAAGCTTATTTAGCATAAAATATAATATATTTTATATTATGATATGATCTTATATTTTAAAAAATTTTATAATTTAAAATATAATTTATTTTATAACATAAAATATAATATATTTTTATATAATAAAGCTTATTTAGCATAAAAGTAAACTTATTTATTTCTAGTACAACTAATAATAAACAGTTTATCTAACAGTTATTAATGAGGAAAACTCAATAAGCTAGTTTTGTTTGGATACCATTTTTTATTTTTCTTAATATAAAAAAAAATTTCCCTGATAACAATTTTAACAGAAGGGCAAAGCAGGGTTAGATTTTGGCGTTAACAGCCTTCCGATAACTAAATTTTCTCTTGCCGTTAACTAAACGGAGACATTAAAATACGAGTTTATTTTATCGGCGGCGTTAAAAACTACCGTTTTGCTTTATCCAGCCGATAGGGTTTAACGGAGGGATGTGAATACGGCTGCAGGCTGGAGAAAGAGTTAAGCTGAAAATCGTTTAAAGCTGTGGTAAAATCTTTGAAAAATAATTTTTCAAAAAAAAAGAAAAATTTTGAAAGGTAGTTTTTTCGAAATTGTAATCAAAGTGGATAACTCTGATAAAAGTTAACTGGATAAGTTTTTAAAACTATCGTGAAGCAATCAAAACAAAAATCAAAATCAGGTTAAGTAATTGTTTTTTTGAAATCCTCGATACTGTTGACGAGTGTGGTATAAACAATAAAATTTTAGACAATGCCTAATGTTTTAATCTTTTTTGCTTCCCATATAGAATTGTTACGTTCTTAAAGAACGTTTTTTCAGCAAGGAACTTTTTAAATATCGCTAGAATTTTATTTTGCATTCAAGTATTTTTGTTGGACCTAAAAACAAAAAGCCATATTTTAATAAATAGGAATATAAAATACTTTTCTCTAAATCTGGCGAAAATAAGACCAATTCTAATCTAGAAATTTATTATTATTATTATTATTATTATTGTTTTTATTGTTATTATTATTATTATTATTATTATTATTATTATTATAGTTGAAGCCGTAAAATATACATACCATATATACATACAGCGAGCAGGGAAAACACCCTACTATAAACAACCAGTTTTATAAATATTCGTTCTTCAACCAGTTATTTAACTTAATTTAAAAGAAAGTACAGTGGAGTATAAAGTTACTTGCTCGGGTAGTTCATTCCAGTATTTTGCTGATCTATTATATAATTAGTTGTGTCTTGGAAGACAGTTTGGAACATATTAACGTCTTATTTTAAGATGGTAACCACGTGACAATGAGTTAATAAATTTTGGTTGATATATATTATTAACTATATCAAATCGATGTATTAGTTTAAAAATTGGTATTAGATCGCATCGTAGGCGCCGAAACTCGAGTGATGGTAAGTTTAGTATTTTAAGTCTTTCATAGTATTGAAGTATTCTCAAGTTTAAAGCCGATTTTTTTGCTTTACGTTGAACAGATTCAACCAAAGCTACGTCAGTTTTTAAATACGGGGCCCAAACAGACACTGCATATTCCAGGTGTGGTCTTATAAACACTTTATATAATTTGAGAGCCATTTTTTCATCAACAATGGTGGATGTCCTTTTTAGCATACCAAGAATTTGTAAAGATTTGGAGACAACTGATTGAATATGTGTACTCCACTTGAGGTTAGATGTAAAAATGACTCCTAAATCGAGCTCTTTAACAGAGCTTCTTAGGCTTTTATTTATACCTTGGTTATTTTTTAAAAATTAGCTATACATAGGATTGGTTTTACCATAATGGATAACACAGCATTTTGAAATGTTTAGTTTAAGTAACTAAGTGTTTGACCACTCGTATACTAAGCGTTGACGTTCCTGCAGATCAACGAAATTAGTCTGCGATGAAATTTAAGGAAAAAGTTTAGTATCGTCTGCAAATACTTCAGAAGTTTCTGTAAGTTGGGCAAGATCGTTTGTAAAAAGAATAAAGAGGAGCGGGCCGAGAACAGAACCTTTAGGAACACCACTAAGAACATCAACCCAGTCAGAGCTAGTATTGTTAATTGTAACGCGTTGCTCTCTGCCTACTAAGAAGGAACTAATCCATTGTAGTAGTTTGCCGTTTATTCCGAATGATTTTAATTTTAACATGAGTCTGGTGTGAGGTACGGAATCAAAAGCTTTAGCAAAGTCGAGGTAGATTACATCTATAAACTGGTGCGATGCTAGGGAAGACGAAATAATATCAAAAGTCTCTATTAGATTGGTTACACAAGACTTATGATGAAGGAAGCCATGTTGATTTGTAGAGAGCAGATTGTTGTGTGATCATTGATGTGCTTCAAGGTTTTATTCTTTACAACCTTTTCAAATGTTTTTCATGCAACAGAGGTAAGTGAAATAGGGCGATAGTTTTCAGGAAGTAGTTTGTCTCCCTTTTTTTTATAGATCGGACTAATATTTGCTAATTTCCAGAGAGTTGGTACTATTCCAGAATTGAAAGATTCATAGAAGATTTTTGTAAGCGGAATTGCAAAGCTTTTGGCACATATCTTAAGTATTAAAGGGTGCAACCCGTCAGGTCCAAAAGATTTGTAAGGGTTTAGATTGGTTAGTTCATTAATAATGTCTGCAATGGAAAAATCCAAGTTGTTATTATAATTGCATTTAGGTGTAACTTCACTTTTATTTAACAATGGAAAATTTTCGGGGCTTTCAAGAGTAAACATAGATTTGAATTGAGAGTTCAAAAGTTCAAGTATATCGGGAAGAGTTTCAGTAATTTCACCTGAAGCATTTTTGAGAGAACGAATTTTATCTTTAATTTTTAGTTGGTTGTTAATGTATTTGTAAACGAGTTTTGGGTTGTTCTGAGATTTTGATATAATTTCTTTTTCATGTAATATTTTTGCTTTAAATATTTCCGCTTTTACGGAACGATTAAGACGATTGTAATTTGTTTTGAGATCTTTATTCTTTCATTTAGTTGAGCAGTTGATGTGCCAAGCCAATTTTTTTGCTCGGATTAAGCCTTTAATATGTAGAGTAACCCAAGGATCATACCTTTTTTTTTTGCTTTTTTAATCTTGGGGATAAAGGATTTGCAAGCAGTACGATAATAGGAGATTAATATATTGAACACTTGATCCGCATTTTTGTGTAGAATATAATATCCCAATCGATTGATGCAATAAAGTTTGATATTAAATTATAATCAGCTTTGTTGTAACTAAACAATTAAGATTCGTTTTCGGGTAGCGGTTCTGAAACTAAGATTCTCTAGGTAATACTAAAGTGACCCTTAGTGTTATTACCTAGTATAGCATTAGGAGACAAATTTAAAATAGAATTATTGTTGTAGGTGAATAATAAGTCCAACATATTTTTGGGGGAACCATAGGATGTCTAGAAAGTAGGGAACGTAATGTGTTGTGTAAAGAGGCTGTTTTGGTAAATTTTCCAAAATTCATTCTCGTTAGAATTGTTTGGATTGAAGTATTTAATATCATTATTAGACGACTTCATATTCGGGAAATTAAAATCACCAACAATCAAACAGTCATCATATGGCTTCCTAATTAAGCTATGAGTCAATTTAAAAGATTCCGCGACATAGTTTATCAGATTAGCATCATTTGGTCTATATATACACCCAATAAGTATGCATTTATTATTAACTTGTACTGATACCCAAACTTGTTCAAGTGAGTTCGTATAGAACTGATTAACTTCGTGAGAGTTAAATAAGTCAGTAATGTAGATAGCAACACCACCACCTCGACGTCCGTCACAGCGATCTTTGCGATATAAATTATACCCATCGATGTTAGGAACTGAGTCATTTCGAAACCATGTTTCGAAGACAGCAACAACATGATAGTCAAACGTTCTAGCTATTGCAATTAAATCGTTCATTTTGTTATCAAGGGATGTTGTATTAGTGTAGTAACAATTAACACTATAGTTTGTTTCCAGGTTATGTACGTCTTTACCTTTGTATTTTATTTTCGTTGTTAGGAGAGTTAAGGGAGGATAGTGATTCTTAGGCTGTAGTTTGGAAATTTTTGAGCTTAACAACACCGCTGCTTCGTGTACCGTATCTAAAGGGCGATGTTTTTAGATTTATATTACTATTTAGTTCATTACGCTTTATTCTTAGTTGGTAGTTTAGATATCGCTCAGCCTCAGTTAGACTGGGCTTATAAAGACATTTTTTTAATCGTCTGAACTTTTTTAATTTTTTTGCTGCTGTAAGTAATGGGTTTCTTTCAGAAACATCTGACAGTTTGACGATAATTGGTCCTGGTTTTGAGGACATGAATTTAATAGGTTTTCCAAACTTTGGATTTGCATCAGATGCGATGATAGTTAATATGTTCTGAACCGTTTCCATATCGTCGATTTGCTTTTCTGCATCTGATATCTTAGTAGATTCTTTAATACCATAAAAAATTACATTTTTTTCTCGCTTTTTTGTTGTTGTTGTTGCTCAATGGAGAATGCGTTAATAACTGTTAGCTGTTCAAGGGTTTTTTTTTATTTTTGTTTGCAACTGTAACCCAACTGGATTCGATATTTCTGGTTGTTGTAATAGTTTGTTTAGTATATTTTTTCGACAAGTTGATCTAACTCCAGTTGTTGTTGCTTTATGACTTGCTCTAGTTCGGATATTTTGTCCAGTCCTTTTGTAGATACATTTCCTAGCAGCAAAAATATTAATTATTTTTATAAGAAATATGGTAGTAGTAGTAGTTTAAAATGCTGCAATAGGTTTCCCTGTATAACCTATAGGTTATGATAGCCTTATCTACTTAATAATCAAATTTATCATTAAATTAATATTATGAAGTATAAAGTTGTACTTAAGTATTTTCATTTAGTTATTATCTTCTTACTTTATTATTTTTATTTAGTTATAATCTCAGTACTTATGCGAATTATTTAAAATTTCTGCATTGAGCTGAGCTTTAAAAATGTTAACAGATATAGCGCATACAACGTCTGATGGCAATGATTCGATACTCGGTTTGTTAAAAAATATCTTTGCTCGCAATATATATATATATATATATATATATATATATATATATATATATATATATATATATATATATATATATATATATATATAGGATAGCTCTCCTAAATCACACGTGGATTTTTTTTTAATGTAGGTACCATTATGTAAAATACTGCTTTTCTAAATTAAGGTGTTAAAGTTATAAGAATGAAGCTGATATTTCCAAATCGCAGTTATATTTATAAACCAGAAAATCAGAACATCAACACTGAATAAAAAATCAGCAAACTTTTTAAGCAAAAATTTTAAGATGGTAACTTTGATACTTAATCAAACATAAATATTAGATATGTTGTCACAAATTATTTAGAAAAAAACAATGTAAAACAAACATTTATTGTCTTTTGGACATATATGAATTAAGATCGGCATCTAAACTGTTACGATTGATAGGAGCGTTATTAATCATTTTCCGAACACCTTTGCCACGGCGAGATTGAAAGCCACTATTTTTGTAACTGCCTTTTTTAAAATTATTTCGTTGTTTATTGATACCAAGATTAGAACCACGTTTGAAACCAATTCTATTTCTAATATCTTTTTTGTGCACAACTTTACCTAATCGATCTTTAACATTCGATCTAATTTTTGATTTGTCTAGTCTACTTTTTATATCTGTACTTTGTTGAACTTGGTCCATTACAGCGTGGAGACCTGTTCTCCGTGACATTTGCTCTGCAAGACGTCTATTTTTAGCACTAGCTCTAAATTGGTTTGTATCTTTTCTTATTGGAGAAGGAGCTTTTTTTCGAAGCATTTCTGTAAACCTAGAATTATAAAATATGTTAAAATAAAAATATATTTAAAAAAAAATCATTATATATAAACATGGATGTTTTGTGTATTAATATCACGTATTGGGTCTATATCACGTTATAATATCACGTTATGGGTCTCGTACGATCGTATGAGTTTACAACTTTGTGTTTATCTGTATTTCTATCATTAAAATTGATGCAAATAAAATTTATTTATCACTAGTTAGCACCTCTGATCTCAAATTATAATTAAATCTAAAATTTTACATATGATATCACAATAAAATTCTAAACGTTATATCAAGACATAAAAAATTTAATTAAAAAAGACTTCATTACTTAACTATAGAAATTGTCACTTGCTTTTGCACAAATGACTTCCCAATATTTTCAAAGCTATTAACACTTTGTTTAGAACTGTGTATAACACGATAACTTTGTTGAGACTAGTGCACTTCTGGTTTCTTGGTTGAAAATGTGATGCTGATGAGTCAAACACATTCATCACAACCTTTAGAGATCCTTGACCTCTATCAATATTAACACATATAACAGAATAAAAGATTCATTATCCTAAAGAAACTCACTTCAGTTACTTGCATACATAGATCAGTACAATAATTTTTTATTAAATATCTTTTTTAAAAAGTAAAACTTTTTAACTTTTTGACATCGTGAAACTTATACATGTAGGACTTAATATCAGCATAGGTGTATTCGAGATAATATAAGCATAGATGTATTCTTCCAACATTTTTTCTTATCTCCTTCATTATACCTAACAACTTTATTATAACTAACACTTGGTTTTATACCTTATATGCCTTATAGGTGATTGGTCTCTATGTAATTTAATAGGAAGAGCATTTCCTCTTGTTGCAAGTTTCTATATCTGTACTATATTGAAAAATCTGTTGTCACAAAGAACAGACTTTTTTTTGAAGTAATTATGGCAAAGATATTTTGAATTTAAAGTTGACTGGGAAGTTGATGACAACCATTAAATCTCTACGGATTTACTGATAGCCTTACCTTTCTGTTTAAATAATAGATTTGTCTTGCAACTTTGACCAATTCCAATCTGATGAGAGTTATGTTGATCATTTAAATTAAAGAACTATTCCTCGCCAAAGATAGACATTTATGTCTCAATTAACACAACAGAAAAAAATCCACCTTGCATTTTCTGAATAAAATCTTACTCTTTGAAGGCTCATGTTGAAACAAAATTTTAATTACTATTTTCTATAATAGATTATTTTAATCTTATACTGCTGATTTAGGTGAGCAGTGTAACATCATAGTACATATATGTATATATATATATATATATATATATATATATATATATATATATATATATATATATATATATATATATATATATATATATATATATATATATATATATATATATATATATATATATATATACATATATACACATATATATACATATATATATATATATATATATATATATATATATATATATATATATATATATATATATATATATATATATATATATATATATATATATATATATATATATATATATATATATATATATATAGTCTTGCATGTCTCTTGCGTAGCATCAAAAAATATTTCCCATAAATTGTAGTTTTAAAGAGCGCATTAATAAACCAGACCAGAAAAAGTTTTAAAAATTAAATTTTTTTTTTTAATTGATAGACTGCCTGGCCAAACCAAACCCTCAGTCGATGTAGCAGCACTCTCTTGCGAGTCAGGCTATTTGTCAGTCGTTGTAGCAGCACTCCCTTGCGAGTCAGGCTATTTGTCAGTCGATGTAGCAGCATTCCCTTGCGAGTCAGGCTATTTGTCAGTCGATGTAGCAGCACTCCGTTGCGAGTCAGGCTATTTGTCAGTCGATGTAGCAGCACTCCGTTGCGAGTCAGGCTATTTGTCAGTCGATGTAGCAGCACTCTGTTGCGAGTCAGGCTATAAGATAGTCGATGTAGCAACATTTACGCATGTTTAAAAAATGTTTTTTATTAAATCAATAACAAAAACATCACTAATTAAAAAAAACTTTCTAGTCGTTATAATTGTGGTTTTTTAAAAATTTTTTAAAAAACAATTAAATTTAATGTACTTCCGCATAAATTAATTGCTTTGACATTTCGATGACAATCAAAAACAGCTTAAGAGACGAGGTAATTAAAATTGTAGTCGTAAGAGACTTTTTTTACATTAAAATGCTCTTAAAGCGACACTATATGAGTATATATATATATATATATATATATATATATATATATATATATATATATATATATATATGTGTGTATATATATATATAGTATATATAGTGACACTATAGTAGATATATATATATATATCAAGCCTTCCCGGGAAGCGCTTGCAGTCGCACACCTTGTGCATCCATGTTTAAAGTAATTTTTTTAGGTAAACTGGCCATGACAGTTTGCATCTTTGAACTTATTAACTCTTTCGCACCTGTAGTAATAAACCAATAATTAAAGGTTTTTTTAGCAGAGCCATTAATCAAAACCATTCGATTTTATGCCTTTAAGCATCAGCTCCAAAATTAGCCTTAATACACTAACTTTTGAATCTCCGTAATAGAAACAAGGGGTCCATAAATTGTCACACTTTAGGGATGGAGGGGGAGCAGGGAAGGAGTGGGGATGTTAGTGGTTTATTGACAACTCATACGTAACTTGTTACTAAAGTGTTACGATGTTGTGACGAGGAGAGGAATCTTAAATAGTTGAAAATTTACTGTCGTAGTTCGTAAACAACCCCTAAGTTAACAGTTTTTTTTAGAGTGTTTGATTTTGATTAAATTTTTCTTTTTTGAAAATTCATGTGATTATAATGTCCGCTATCACTGATGTTTTAATTTTTTTAAAGATTCATAATGCCTATAAGCTTATCTTTTAAAAAATACATAGTTTTGGAATGCAAACTTGATTCCTTTCATTGTATAAAACTGTTTTTTGTGGTATTATATTTAGTTAAATTTTTGTGGTCCTGGCTAACTTGTTGATAAATTTTGGTATCTTAAAGATTTTTAAGTGCTTAAGCACTCAGTTTTTATCTATTTTCTTTATTTGCACCACGAGTAGTTTTAAGTCTTGTTAAGTAATATATTAACTTTTTTTAAGGTATGAAGCCAGACTTTTTTTTTTTTGTAAAAAAAAAAAAAAAAAAAAAAATTTGCAAAAGTCACGTGATCTTTGTATCTGCCATCATTGGTATTTCATTTTTTTTAAAAAAGAGACACAATCTCTATTTATTTATCTTTTTAAAAAAAATATAGTTATGGGGTGTAAATATGATCCCTAACATATCATTTTCAGTATAGTATTTTTATTTTTACTTTTTACAAATATTAAATATAGGTGCGTAAGAGTTAAGCGTTTCAATAATTTGCGGCAAAAAGCTAAACTATTTATGACGAGAAAAAAAACAATCCTAAAAAAAAGTAACAAAATTGTAACGAAATATCAAGTTTAATTGAATAAACTAGAAAATTAAATACTTAAAAAAAAGTAAATAAAAAAAAAAAGCAAAACTTTTTCTAAAAGAGAAGGAGCTTATTATTAATGGAAAACATTACCCCTTTTATAACTCCCTACAAGAAATATAAGTAAACAAGTTGTAGTATTTATACACTACTTAGTATCTGTAGTATCTGGACTACCACTTGAAAAGAAGTTATTTTCCGTTGGAAAAGCATTAGAGGAACTAGGATATGGAAAACACATCCATACTAGGCCCGTTTTCAGAAAATTGCCTAAATTTAAAAGGTCATATTCAAGAATAATAGTGGAAGTTATGGACACTATAGATCATCTAGAGTTTCCAATACCTAGGAAATTAAAAGTAAAAGGTTACAATGTAAGAGCGATATATACTGGAAAGGAGGAAGCAGGAAGTGTACCCCAGGAAAAGAAACTAAACAAAAAACAAAAGTAGAAACAGAACCAACTAAAGAGACAATGAAAGAAGTAACAGAACTCCTACTCCCTCATAGATATATTAGTAACAAAGTGTATAACACAAGAGTATAAAAAAAATGGAGACGAAGATAATCCTAAAGTAACGTAAGAAGTAGAAAAAAGAAAAGAACTTATGATTAAAAATAAAGTAAAGTTAACGTCGGTTATAAATTGAAATAATATGACTAAAAACTCTACATCGAAAGATAGTATATCAGAAACCAGCAATGAAGTAGAAATAGAACAAGTAGTTAATAAACCATTAAAAGAAATAAAAAAAGAACAACTAAAATCAATAACAGTGAATGAAAAATACCTACAAAACTCAGATTATGTACAAATAAAAATTAATGTAACTGAAGTTGAACTGCCAATAGAATTTTAATTTATGAGTCATAATGAATTATATTCCTTCAACATAAATTTTTTAGCTGTTTTAATTAACACAACTCCACAGAATGAGTTAAATAGGTTCACTCAATATAAGAGAGCCGAATATGAAAAGGAGAAAATAGGAAGGCAAAAAGCATACAAAGAACTTCAGCAAGCAAGTCGTAAAGCACGGGTAGAGGCTCAATAAAAAACCAAAAAAACTCAATCAATAACCAAGACAAATGGTATCAGAAAAAACATCATCAAACTAAACTTATAATTATTAAAATAAAATAAAAATAAAAAATTGTTAAATATAAAATAAAAAATATGTAACTTGTTTGAAAACCAAAAAAAAATTATAAACTATATTAAAAAACAAAACAAAATATTTTTTAAGTAATCCTTGCTTAGTTTCGGCTAAGTACCCATAAATAAATCCTTTAGAGGACTACACAAATAGTTAAGGCTCCAAAAAAAAACCTATCATATAGAGCCCAGCATAACTCTGCTTACAGTTGCTAGTCTCTAGTTGTTTGGCAGAAAAAAAAAAAAAAAAATCAATAATTTATCAGTTAAATAATTCTATATTTTATAAATATAATTTAAAGTGTTAAAATTATGTATTTATCAGTTAATTTGCATTTCAAACAGCGCTTTTTTTTTTTTTTTTTTTTTGGCAACAACCGTGTCTGATAAAAAACATTGCAGTTTATTATGCAATTAATTTAATTTTTTTCATAGAAATAACTTTGTGATTTTTATTTTAGTTACAATGATTTATACTATTTAGAGAAAAAATTATAATTTTGTGAGAGCTGTTAATTGCTCCCAAAAACCATTTTAGGGGAATGTGGGCAAGAGCAGTATGTATGTATGTATGTATGTATGTATGTATGTATGTATGTATGTATGTATGTATGTATGTATGTGTATCTATGAATGTATTTATGTATGTATGTATTTATGTATGTATTTATGCATGTATGGGTATATAATCACTAATTAAAACTTATACCTATCACTTAGAGTTTGAGTAGTAGTACTTTTAAGCACAACTTTAACTGGAATATTCATTGTTTTTGATGTTTTGCTACTAAAACAAATTAATAAATTAACTAAATAACTATCTCAATGAAAAAACAAATATAATTTATGTCTATAAATAATAGATAAGATAAAACATTTATAGAAATGCAAGACTTTACTCGACACAATTTTATTACTCATTGGAAAATTTTTTCCATTTTACTCTCTACTTTCCAACTAAAATATGTTTCAAAATATTTCGACATACATTTTATATCAATGTATATCAACTTATCTATATATAATTAAATGAAATAGGAATATATATCGATATATCAGTATATGTCGACATATACATTAAGACATGTGTAGATTATGTAGATAAGTACAATAATAGATAATTTATAAAATAATAGATTTTTACTCTCAGTATTATAAGTATAAAAAAGAATAATAGATTTAAAATCTTCCTTAGTGTATTTTCACTAAATATTTAGCTTAAATATATTATTAAAATCAATTTTTCTACAAAACAAAAAAAAAATGGCAGAAATCAATATGGCTTACTTGTGAATAAATGTTTTTAATGCGTTGCTAAATTATTAACTCGATATTATTAACTCGATTAATCGCAAAGTTTGAGTTATGATAAAAAACGATTAAAAATATAAAAACTTAAAAATATTAAAAATCAAAAAAAGATTGTTTTATTACTCAAATAATAATAAAAAATGCATCCTCAAAAGTATGATGGCTTGCCGATATCACATCTACAGTATTATTCATTTTTAAGACATACAGTATAATTATCTGAAATTGAATTTCTTATTTGTTAAAATGAGGTTTTATTATATTTGTTTTAACAAAAAAAATTTCACATAACAATTGGATTCCATCTTAATAAAAGACATGCAATACTCACAATAATATTGTAAACAACATAAAGCTTAAGAGATAAATATTAGGAACAAATTTAATCGATGATTACCAGGGAGAGGGGGGAAGGGCGCAATTATCAATTTGTAAAAAAAATCCTCTAGATTTTTCTTTTGAAAAAAAAAGTCCTTTAAAAAAAAGTAGGGGCGTGTCCCTCTCCTTGTTGTGTTGGCCCTGATCACTTTATAAATTTATCAAGTGAAATAAAGACATTTCATATAAACATGTCGCACTTTGTAGATAGCTAAAACATAACGTGAAATCTTTAGCTAATAAATAACTACACATTGCAGTGCCTTAGCCAGCAATATCATATCAACACTTTACCAGCTACATATCGAAACTATGTAGCTAACAATTAAAAAATGACAAATCTATATATATTTATATCTATATAAAATAATGAATATATATATAAAATATTATATATATATATATATATATATATATATATATATATATATATATATATATATATATATATATATATATATATATATATATTTATATATATATATACATATATATATATATATATATATATATATATATATATATATACATATATGTATATATATATATATATATATATATATATATATATATATATATATATATTTATATATATATATATATGTATACATATATATATATATATATATATATATATATATATATATATATATATATATATATATATATATATATATATATATATATATATATATATATATATGTATATATATATAATATTATATATATATATAATATTATATATATATATAATATTATATATACATAAAATATTACATATATATATATGAAATATTATATATATATTTATATATAATATTATATATATATAAAATATTACATATATATATATATATATATATATATATATATATATATATATATATATATATATATATATATATATATATATAATATTATATATATATATGTATATATATATATATATAATATTATATATATATATAATATTATATATATATATAATATTATATATATATATAATATTATATATACATAAAATATTACATATATATATATGAAATATTATATATATATTTATATATAATATTATATATATATAAAATATTACATATATATATATATATATATATATATATATATTATATATATATATATATATATATATATATATATATATATATATATATATATATATATATATATATATATATATATATATATATATATATATATATAAAATGACAAATCTATATCGATTAAGTTTATTAAATTTAAGCAATTTAATAAAATTAATTGACGATTAGGGATTTTAACATATTTTTATTTTCAAGCTTAAAAATGACATCCAAAAAATCGGTAGTTAAACATTTCCTTGAAAAAAAAGGAACATTCTGGCAATGCAAAGAAAAAAACTGCAAAAAAAAAAAAATGTTCTGTTTAGAAAACTGGAACTTTATCTTATTTATGGAATCATTTAAAACGTGAACACAAAATCGCAACACGAAGGAGCATATAAAAAGCATCTAAAAATACAAAAAAAAAAGAATTTTTGTAACATAATTAAAAAATCATCAGGCTCTTCAACCCTGACCCTAACCCTGACCCTTACCCTAACCCTGAATTTGGCAGATGCTGCAATTATGCATTATAAACTTACATTAAAGTTGATTATATCGTTTACGTATGAGTATGCTTTATAATTCATAAAAAAATTCATGACAAATAAATATGCTGTCGTATAATTGCTGTTAGCATTTTCCCAAAAGATATAATAATAATTTATCTCTATCAAAACCACAACTTGCAAGCTATGGTAGATCTTCTGCATTCTATATAGAAACCGTAGGAATTGTGTATAAAAAAATTACGACCTCACCCCAAAACTAAGTTTCAAAAAACAACTACTACAAAAGGTAAAAGATTACTGTTCAACAACTTCTGTAGAGTAGTCTAAGATCTTTTGAAAACTTTTGTTCAAGATCATCTGTATTTTTTTTTTACTTCAACAATATATGTCCAATATCATCTGGAAATTCAATGATCCCTAACAACATCTTTATGAAGATGTAACTACATCAGGTAATTTTTCTCTAAGTCCAATAACATCTGGAAGAACTTCCTCCAGCTGTAATTACATCTGTAAAATTTTCAGATGTAGTTGCACAGATGTTGTTATACTTAGATAATTGAAAAGATGTAACTACATCTGTAGGAATCATATACATTTTACAAAAATGTTATTAGACATCAATGAAATTTCAAATGTTGTTCGACAGATGTTATTAGACATGGCAAAAGCAAAAAAAGTGTAATTTAAAAAACGTGTATTATAACTGATACATCTGAAATTAAAGTTATTGTAGAATCAAAATCTAATAACCAAAAATGTAAAAAGTCCTCTTCAAGAAAAATAAAAATAAAATGGCAGATTGTTTTTAGTCAGTTTGACACGTGTTTAAATGATAAAAGTTCTGATGCAGTTGATTTTTGAGTAAATATACTTGATAATGAAAGTAAATATACTTGATAATGAAAATTTTTCTCTAAATTTTCTATTTGTCAAGTAGGCAAGAAAGAATTACTTTAGACTTTATCTAGCAGAAGTTATTAAAATTGTTGGTATAGTTTATAAAATTAAGTATTGTAAGATTTCAGGAGATTTTTTTAATAAATTTATACAAGACGATGACAATATTTATGACGTGGAGCTTAAAGATATTATTATGAAACTTCCACCACCAAATATGGTTCATCCAAATGTTAGTATCTTATGTTTACTGTTGATCTTACCTCTTGTAATAATTAATATATTTTACACTTTTATTTTTGTACTTTTTGTTGTCATCATTAAAATATTTCCTCTAAAATACATTTTAGAGGAAATATTTTAATGAGGAAAAAGTCTTAAGTATAATTTTTGAACAAAATATGAGAAAACATCACAAAATTTGAATGGTTTTAATTTATTTAACAAGCTACGCAAAAACATCTTGAAGTTAAAAGTGATCAAAGGTAAAGCAGGTTTAAAGTTAAAGAATACAAAGTTTTTTGTTTTATTCAATTTTTTTGGAGAGTCACAATTTAAGGTTTTTGTTTGTATACTTGATCTAGAATGCCGCGGTATTTAGAATGCAGTGCCATAAGATTAAGAACAAAAATTTCAAGTTAATTTCCCCTATTTGATAAACCTTTTCTAGGTGACAAAGTTTACTGATTAGTCTTCTACTTCAATTAAGAACTTTATCTGTATGATATCTTAATAGGGAACTATTTCTTAGTGGAACACTCTAGTACTCAAGTGAGTACAGACACTTCCTCTATTGTACCTAGAGTAAAGATATCGATTGTGGAATAATAACGCAATGTGGAATACTGGTGTTTTTCAAACATTGTTAGAAGCTCCTCCATTCTAATAGCTGAATATCATATGTGGTGGCGTTTTAAATTGTTTAATCACGTAGCAATTTGTGAAAACAAACCTTAATATTTTTCATAATATATTATTTGTTGTTTACAGTTTTTTTACATCACATACACAATAACATTTTTACACTTCAAAATCTTATAAAGGATCAAACGAGAAACTATCTTATAAAGGATGATTTTAATAAATCTTATTTACTTTCAATAAATCTCATTTACTTTCAATAAATCTCGTTTACTTTCAATAAATCTTATTTACTTACAATAAATCTTATAAAGGATACTTTCAATAAATCTTGCTTTATTATTATTATTTTTTTTTTCTCACATGATATTTTTGATAAAATAAAAATGTATTTCACAATAGGCACCTTTACTCTTTAAATAATTAATTTACATAATCGAAATATGTTTATATCTTCCTTAAATTATTTGCACATTTAAATGTGAAAATGTTTTAGAGAAGATTTTAGTAAAAATATTTCTACGTCTACTATTCTGGTCCTTTTGTTGTCAAATTCGATGTTTACATCAAGCAATACTAATCAGTTAGTTTAACAGTTAAGAAATGGTTATTAGGTAAACTAGAATGTTTCTTGTTATAAAATACGCATTTTCGCAAATTAGAAATAAATTTCAATTAAGAAAAACAAATGTTTTTCTGCATTCGTATCTTCATATAATAACTTGTCTACTGATATTAAAAGGTAAAATTTTTCGATTAACATATTTAAAGTACCAGATAATTCCTTTTTTTTTTTTTTTAGCTTTTTGGTATTTATGCACCTCATAATCATAAAATTATATTTGAAAAAAATGTACCATTTTAATCATGAATTATCTTTACATATATTTTTCTATTTTTTCCAAATATGCAACATTATTTTTTTTTTTCCTTTTCCTCAACTTGCTTTTTTTTTTATTATCTTTTTTTTTTTGTATTTATAAATTTACACATTGTCAAACAGATTGATACAATATAACGATACCTATAACTTTCTTCTAGCTTAAGATTTTTTTTAATTTTTTTTTGTGGTCGTTAAGGAGCTCCCAGATGTCTATATTTTGTAGTACTTGTTTTATCAACAAGTACTACAAAAAATTATTTAACTAAGAAGTTTACGCCTCCTTTTTTTACTAATATTGTTATTTGGATAAAGATGGCGTCGAACCTCTTGATTCTGAGCCATCTCTAACCACTACTTCACGGCTGACTAAAAATACGAGAAGTAGAATTAACATTTAAGAAATTATATTAAATTTTGGCTCTATAATGTTTCTAAAAAATATTCAGTTTGACGGGGCTAACAAAATTATTTTAAAGGAAACATACTATACTATGCATATATTATATAACATTTATTTACCTGATAAAGACAGAGAAAAAAGTTCATGCAAAAATAAAATACAAAGTCTGGCAAATTTTTTTTTTTTTATTCAAAACTTGTAGTGAAATAAACAAAAGACACATTAATTTATCTAAACAATTTTAGTTTAAAACTGTACTAAACTGCATCCAGCATCAAAAAAGAAAAAAAAAAAAAAAAAATTAACACTCCACACAAAACAATTAAGTTGGTATAAAACAATTGTGAGAATGGTGAGAAAATTGTGAGAATAGTGAGAGCACAATTCTTTAAACAAAACATTTATAAAATTTAAAAAAATATATATATAGACAAATGTTTTATTTATGATAATATGTTAGGTGATACATGTTAATTCTATGAGAGTTAAATTGAACTACCGCATAAGTTATTTCGAGTTTCAGAGCTTTTTTCTAATAACATTATAGAAATACTATTTCTTACTGTCTTCCTCCTAAAATAATGCTTTATACGAACATTTCTGAAAGGTCCGTTATTATGCGCAACGAGTATAGGAACTAAAACAGTTTTTATAAGAGCAGGTATTAATATATAACGAAGCACTTTTAATCGATATAGCTCTCCTTCTATTGTATTTTGAAAATAGTAAGACGTAATTAACAACCAATAGATTGAATAAGGAAAACTTCCCATACTGTAAGCTGCAGTTAACACGCAAAGTTTTTTAATAACATTTTTGCGTACGCTCATTACAACATTTCCTCTAACATCTTTAGAAAAAAGTTGAGTATAGCTTATAACGCATACTACTATCATAACTGCAAGTGGGATCATTAAACCGCAAGTATACAGTGCAACCATATACAATGTTCCAAAAGGTTCTTTTAATATCCATTGACGAAAACACAGACCACTTTTATGATCTAGCTTATATGATAACATAAACGGAATAAAAGAAATCAAACCAAATCCCCAAGTAAGTATAAAAATTGACGTAACGTTTTTTTCACTGACTAATTTTCTAGAACTCTTTTTAATTAATTCACACCTCATAATGGACAAAAAAGTTAATAAAATGCAGCTTCCCATTGAAAAAACAAGCATTCCACATTGACCATCAGTCAAGCTACAAAGGAAACTTTCAAGATACTTGTTTGATATTGGTATTTTACGTAAATTTAATATAAAGTACGGTAAGATACCAATGTATTGCCCTAAGTCAATTAAACACAAGTGTAAAAGAAATCTCCCAAATATTGAATTCATCGCGTTTCTTGCCATAAAGAGAAACACAATGTAACAGTTTACAAGAAAGCCCGTGATTATTATCGCACCACAAATCAGGATAGTTACAATATTTTCGACATCACCGAATACCTGTTTGTTTATAACGTATTCAACTATTTGATATTGCATCTCTGAGATATTGTTATTCATTTTATTATTAAAAAAAAGTACTTTTAAAACACTGTTAAAAAACAATTTTAAATACAAACAAATATTTAATCTTTCTTCAAAACATTCTGGTTCGCAAGTTGCTAGCACTTTACATACAAGTAAAGTTTACTTCCTGAAGTTGCCAACACACATTGGGAAAATTCAATATTTTTTGTTCAACAAGCTTATTAGTAATTCCTGGGAAATATTGCTTGTATTTCTAAAAAAGGTTTTAACACTTTTAATTTCAAAAAAACAATGTTGATGTTTTTGATATCCTTTGTTGAAAACTTATTCTATAATTTAATTTTAAAAGTTTTTATAATAATTAACGAAAATTAAGGAGGACCACTGGAAAAATGATTATTACGATAAAATGAGGAAAAATGATTATTACGATAAAATGTGGAAAAATGATTATTACGATAAAAGTAATGATAAGTTTTCTCAGAATATAAAATGGAAAATAAACGTAATTTTATTATGAAGAACGTGTTACAAAGAACGTGTTTCAAAAAACGTGTTTCAAAGAACGTGTTTCAAAGACAATATTTATAACATATAATAGTTTTGTAATACGAGTTTTAAACAAAGTTAATGTTTGTGAAAGTTAAGCGCGTATTTACGCGTTTTAAGTTTGTTCTTTCTCGTTTTTATTTTTAAACAACTATTATTGTTTAAAAATTTATTTATCAAACTATTATTGTTTAAAATGGTCAAATACTAGAATTATAATTGATCGTTTTTCAAATGATGGCTTTTTATTGGTTTCAAATGATGGCTTTTTATGGGTTTCAAATGATGGCTTTTTATGGGTTGGTACTCTTCCTATTTAATTTGACTTATTGATATTTTGACAACAGCAAAAAAACTTTTGAATAAGTTAGGACGTAAAGTTTTATGGTATTTGATTTCAATGTTTCTCTAAAAATTTCTATTTTTTTGTTTTAACTTATTTGTGCTGTAAATAATAAATTCTTTTATTGACGTAGATATTACAATATTGAGTAAAAACTAATAGCAACAATAGTTTTATTTGCGTAGTCAGGGTAACGATGTTATTAAATTTTATTATCCAACCCAAAATATTAAAGTAAATTGTTCTTTTTTTAAAAATAAAATAAATAATATTGTATTTTGATTCACAGGAAAACATTTTATTAAGTAACATGTTCACTAGCATGTTAAAAGTAATAATAATAATAATAATAATAATAATAATAATAATAATAATAATAATAATAATAATAATAGCAATAATAATAATATTGTCGTTTTTAGCATTTTAAGCCAAAGCTAAGTTAACTCAAAAAACGTAAAATGCTTTAAAAAAAATTTTTTTTTCATACTTTTACTAATTGAATAGCAAGATTAATTGGTGAGTGTTGCAGTTACTAATAGCATGTTAAGTCTATACTTTGATTTTTAAAAGAGTATTTGATGTTTTTTCTTTTTTTTAACCATTTATTATTATAAGTGCTCAAAATTTTGAACTTTTGACTACTTTTTTTTTTTTTTTTTTTTTTAACATCTTCGCTTCCAACAAGGCTGCAAGCAACCACTAATTAGTGTTGGAAGTTACTGGAAGAGAAAAGATGAAGATTGTAGAGCAAGATAACGATAGACAGACGACTTAAAAGATTGCAAATTATATGAATCTGGAATGCAAGATGAAGGAAGCGAATTCCAAAGAACTGAAGTTCGAGGAAAAAAACAAGACGAATTAGAGTTTTTGGAGCACTTAGGAACAGTAACAGAAAAAGGATGAGACTTATTTGAATGACGAGTAACATGAGAATGAATTTTAGTAGATAGCACAAGAGACGATAGCTCTTTAGAGCAGTGCCCATTATAGTATCTGTAGAAAAGAGAAAGAGAAGCAACATTACGACGATGTGACAGAGGTTGAAGGTTGGCTGCAAGAGCAGGTATGTTTACAATGCGTTTTTGCACCTTGTCTAAAAGAGAAAGGGTATCATTAGAAGATCTACCCCAGATATGGCAACAGTGTTCCATACAAGGCCGGATTTGAGATTTATAGAGATAGAGAATAGAATCCAGAGTAAGAAAGTGACGAGCTTGATAAAGAGAAGCAACTTTAGCAGATGCTAATTTTGCAACGAATTTGATATAAGGTTTCCAAGAAAGATCAGAAGTAAGAGTTAATCCTAGAAGATGAAGAGTAGGAGACTCATCGAGTACATTACCGTTCATAAATATAGGAAGGTCTAAATTATTGCGATAACGATTGGCTGAAAAAAATTGAGTTTTATCTGAATTAAAGTTCACCAGCCACTGTGAACCTCATGCTGTAGCAGAAGTGAGATCCTTTTCAAGCTCAGATGCCCCTTGCAAGCAATCAGAGGGAGTTGGCTTCTTATCGTGACAAGAATAAATGGTAGTATCATCAGCGAACAATGCCGCCTTAGATGTGGGAATATCTGGAAGATCGTTAATGTAAATTAAGAAGAGTATAGGAAAGTTTTTAAAGTTGCATTAAAATAATTGTCAAACTTAAAAGCAAGCATGTTTTACTTTTTGTTTCTTTTGTTTAATTTCTTTTCAAAATGTTTTCTGCACTCGCTCTTTTATCTTTTCTTTTAGCTGTATATTCCATGATGAAATAAGTTATTATTTAAATTTATAATAAATATTAAGTCTTTTTAATGAAATGTTGATTGTTACAGAATTAAAAAGGATTTAGAAAAAGTAACGGGTGATGCGGAAGTTACCGGACAAATCTGAATTTAATTATTTGAGCATAATAATTTATGTTTGTGGTTTTATGCGTATACGCATAAATGGATGAGTGGAAATTCACCTTTATAAAACGTTTATGCCTACGCGTAGGCATAAACGTTTTATAAAGGTGAATTTCCACTCATCCGTTTTTCTACGGGAAAGAGAAAAGGAACGGAAAAATAATCACATGAGCATGCGCA